TGGGTTGGGTTGGGTTGGGATGAGATGGGTTGGATGGGGGCGGGATGGGTTGGGTTGGGTTGCATTGGGTTGAGTTGAATATAAGAGATGAGTTGATTTCGTGTGGGGCTGGATTGGAATGAGTCGGGTTGAGTGAAGTGAATGAAGAATATATATTTATAGATGAATATAAAAGAGATGAGTTGATTTCGTGTGGTGTTGGGTTGGGTTGGGTTAAGTGTATGAAAAATATATGTGCATAGATAAATTTAAAAGAGATGATGTGATTTGGGTTGGATTGGGTACTCGACGCAATCTAACCTAACCCAACCCAACCCATCCCATTCCATCCCTACGCAATCCAACCCAACCCAACGCAACTTAACTCTAACTTAAACTTAAACTTTTTTCTATATTCCTTTTTATTACCTGATTTCGCGGTAATTATGTTTAAAGTATTGAATTAAATTTCCATGAAATTTTTGTTCAATAGTTATTTTTTTTTGAATTTCCTGGAAAGCGGAATTTACCATCGCATGAGTAAATCAACTCATTCGATTCCATGACAAATTCCAGTGATATTATCACCGGAATTGCACGGCGTTTTGACGTTTCGTCGCGATTTTTCATTCCGAACATCCAATATCGTAGTCCGTTCCGAACATCTGTTTTTCTCAAAAAATCATCATTTTTATGATAAAAGCATCGGGTATTCGTAATTAGAAAAATACGGGTGTTCGGAATGATCATCGAAAAAACAACGGATGCTCGTTGAAATTTTCAACGGATGTTCGTAAAATTTTTAACGGATGTCTAGAACAGCAATGGATGAACGTTCGGAAAATTTTTACACGAGTATCCGGAATAGTAAATGGCACATTTTGTTTTAAAGAAGTAGAGTGAGTAGATGTAGTCGAGGCAGAACTTTTACATGGTCGAAGAAGGTACGGCATTTTAGTAAAGACTGAGAAAAAACTCAAGGCTTAGCATAGTGCTTACCTTGAAAGACAAGTGAAGATCTCGAAATGAGAAATTGTGAATAAACTGAATACATAGACGTCTGAGTTGTGATGAAATGAGTAAAGTTATGCATTAAAAGCAAGTTATATAGTGCTAGATGACACAAATGTGTATATCACTCTGCTGCCGAAACAAGGAGCAAACTGACCTATGTATATGATCGTCGAGTAAATAATCAGCTATCTATTGGCGAAAGGCAAACTCGCATTTTGCGCTGACTGTTCAGCAAAGTGACCGATATTGTTATTTTTTTCGAGTTTTCACCCTATATGTTTGATAAATAGCGACGATGATATTCGATAAATCTAACATAATCTTTCAATCATATCACTATCTAGTAATATTAACATATCATGTAGATAGAACGTGATATGAACGACCTTTGTTTGGTTATAAAAGAGAATAGAAAGTAATAAACGTACTTAGTAACAAAGCCACAGAACACAATCTTTGCATTTCAATAAAAGGAAATAATAAAAGCGCTAGTATCATTAAAATGATTAGAACAAAGCAATTATTGATTATAAGTAATAAGTAATAAAAGTGATAACAATTATTATCAATTACTGAGTAATGGTAATAAAAAGTAATAGCATTGTGCCACCCCTACTCTTATCTATGTCCGTTTGAACACTATTTGTTTTGTCTCGAACATCCGATAGTTTTTTTTACGAATATCTACCTTTTGAAACTCTGCCATGTGATATAATTCATTCCGAACATTCATTTTCTGTCTTACGAACATCGGTTAGATTTTTTTCCGAACATCAGTTGTAGGACTAAAACGTCAATTCCGAACATCCCATGACAAAGACGGATGTTCGGAATGATCGCGACGAAACGTCTGGCAGCCGAATTTCGCTTCCACTCCCATATACACATATAGATAGATCGATAGTAGATAGATAGGTAGGTAGATGGACACATACGTAGATAGATAGATAG